TGATCTGTTTCTTGTCTCTGACGGCTTTTAATATTCTGTTCTTATATTGGATTTCTGGTATTTTTGTTTTTATATGCCTGGGTGTAGCTCTGTTTGGGTTGTAGGTGGCTGGGGTCCTGAATGCTTCATACATCTGAGTATCTTTACCTTTTGCTAAATTAGGAAAATTCTCCTGGATTATTTCTGCAAGTAGCTTTTGTAGTTCATTTGTTTGTGTCCCTACTTCTTTTATGTTCTTAATTCTTAAGTTATAGATCCTCTTATCATCTTCTAGTCTTTGTATTATTGCTGTTTGTTTCTTTGTTATTTTCAAGAACTTTTTCATTTCATGCTCCCATATTACAAATCTGTCCTCCAGTTCAGATAATCTATCCTTAGTTTCTTTCAAGCTGTTATGCCAGTTTTCGATAGAGTTTTTAGTTTCCTGGTAATCTCTTTGAACCTGCTTCATGTATTCTATGCTTTCTCTATTTTCTCCATCAAACAATTTTCCCCTCTTTTTCTGTTCTTCCATTCCACCATCTGTTTTTTCTTGGGTGGTGCTTAGCATTTCTCTAACTATTCTGCTTATTTCTAGCTTCAGGTCATTAATAACTTCATTCCTAAACTCATCTATGAGGGCTCTGGAGATAGCGCTTTATGTCTATTGGTGTGGTGTCCGCTATTGCCTGTTTCTCAGGATTGGGGGCTGAGGGGCCTTTCTTGTTGCTCTGTTTTCCCATATTCTTTGTTCCTTATATATGCAAGTGTATATAGGAGGTCCAGCTTCCTTCCCTGTTGGCCACAGTCTGATTGAATTGCGCTGGCTAGGTGTTCCCTCCCACTGCAGCGCACTGGGGAGTTACGGACCAGGCAGCCTATGCGGGGCCCGCCCCTCCAGGTCTCCCTTCAGGCGCTGGGACCTGGGCTGTGCTAGCCTACTGGGTCCCAGCCAGCAGCGTCACGTAGGCTAGGCTAGGCACTGCTCACCAGTCCCACTTGAGAGGGGGATATGTGACTGAAGTCACTACAGCTCCCTGTTCCGGCAAGTCTGCCCGGTCCCAGAATGTCCTCTGTTGGAGCCTCCTAGATCATGGAAGATTCCCAGTTTCTCTGACTCACCGCAGGTCAATGCATGGCTCCCCGCCCATCCTGCTCTCAACTCTGTTCACCAATTCCCATTCTCAGAGCTTTCGCATGTCTGTCTCCCTGCTGAGCTGATTCAGACGTAGCCACGGTGGCAGGAAACCCAAATCGCGGTTTCCAATGGCGCAGGCTGCAGCTTCCACGCTGAGGCTTTATCTGTTCCTGTTATAACACCAAGATTGCATTCCCAGTTGGTTTCTCTCAACCCAGTTTCGTTCTTGGGTCAGTAGCAGGGCATATCTCCTTTCTTGCTTAGGATTCCTCACTCTGCACCATTCCTGGATTTTAAGCTGGGTCTTTCAGAGAGCCTCCATAGCTGCTGCTATCTGTCTGCCATGTTCTCCTAGAAGTCCAAATTATTTTTTTGGAAGGGAATGTTGTGGGAATTGAACTCAGGCCTTCTCACTGAGCTAATTCCCAGCCCCTTTATTTGTTTCACTACTTGTTTGCTGGAGACAGAGTCTGGCTAAGTTACTAGATTATCCAGGCTGAACTAAAATTTGCAACTACTCCTGCTTCAGCCTCCCAGAGTGCTGAAATTGACAATTCTTTATTGTGTTTTGTTTTGTTTTGTTTTGTTTTTTTACTTGCCAGTGAAAGGATTTTGCCCTGGATGGGAAGCTGCAGCAGTGGGAGGCTGGGAGGCGGAACTAAGGGGCTCTATCTTGATGTCACCTTTCCTGGCCATAAGCAATTTACCTGTGGTGCGAAATAAATTCCAATGGGCTATCTGTGCATTAGTAATGCCCCTTAGGCTCCACCCCCAACCTAAGCTACATATATGCCCCCATAACACATGTCCGGAAGAAAGAAAGCCAGACTCCAGAGGTCATGAAGTCTCTCTCTGCATTCTTAAAACAAAGGCCACTTTTATTTCATATTTCTTATCTTTTTAGCTGCACTGAAAATTCTATCACCAGGATATATATTACATTTTAAAATGTTGTGATTCACAATGATACATAATAAACATTTATTTGAATCCTTACAACATGTTAGGCTTTATCCTAAACATATTAATTGATTTATGTAACCCTCACACAAGCTCTGCTTTTTAAGTTTGATTATTCTCCCTACTCTACAGGTAAGGAATCTGAGTTTAGAGAGGCTTAGTGATAGGATTTTTGGCGCGGAAGGGAACCATCTGATAGAATTTTCGGCATGGCTAAAAAGATAGGAAGTATGAAATAAAAGTGGCCTTTAAGAATATGAGGAGAGAGTCCATGACCTCCGGGATCTGGCATTCTCTCCGCCAGACACCTGGTATAGGGGCATATATGTAGCTTAGGTTTGGGGTAGTGCCTAAGGAGCATTAGTGATGCACAGGTAGCCCACTGGCATTCATTTCGCACCACAGGTAAATTGGCTAGGGGCGGGAAGATGACCTCAAGATAGAGCCCCTTGGTTCCACCTCCCACTTCCCTCCGGCTACAGCATCCCATCTGGGGCAAAATCCTTTCACTTAGAACCTTATTAATTTCACACAAACCCCAGAAAGCTTCACTGTGAAGCTCTGAAGCCCGGTTACCATTTGCCTGTAATGTCATAGTGATTTAGGGGATGTAACTCCCAATCTACTATGTCCAGTGCGAGTTCAGGTTCTCTAAAATCGAAGAATGAATTTTGGGAACAACGGAGGGTAAGAGTAGAATATACTTATTGTGAGAAAGGAAGCTTCTTTCTGAGAGCAAGACAGAAGGGGTCTCCAGCAGGTTGCCCAGGACTCTGTCTTTTCCAGGGACTTTTATAGAGCAAAGTCATAAGGCTAAACAGATTCAAGGTGGGGGAAGACTGGGAACTCAAAAGGCAGTTGAGCATTAGGTACGACATAACTATATTTAGCAATAAGATTAGTAATTCATGTAAAATTGATTAAGTTGGGGACAAATGGGGAAGCAAGTCACATAGAAAGTGGGCATTCTTAGGGAGCAGTGACTCTTCCCCAGGGGGTTGTAATGGCAACTCCTGGCTTCCTCAGGGTGATAGAGAACTATTTAGAATATCATTCCTTAGGATGTGGATGCATTTGTTTGATCTTTTGTCTTGAGGCCTGGCCCACAGCAGGAGGTGTCTATCTTCCCACAATTGGCAGATATGTGGGATTTTGCACTAGCTCCTTGGAGGACCTAGCCCTATCTGACTGCCTATAATATTTCTAACTAACCCAGTGCCTGCAACAATAGATGCCAAATCTAAAATTCAGCATCCTATGAGACTTAGAGAGGACAGATTGTTTTGGCTCACAGAAATAAGTCATGTCCTGGCTGCTTAAAATTTTATTTTTCTGACTCATCAAAGTAATCATTTCCATAAATAAATCTGAAAGGATTTTGCCCTAGATAGGATATTACAGCAGGGTAAGGCGGAACCAGGGGACATTTACCTTGAGTCACTTTCCCCGCCCCTATAAAACTTACCTGTGGAGAAAAAGAGTCCCAATCAGCTACTGGCACATCAGCAATGCCACCTTTAAGCATCACCCCAGTCAAAAACTATATGTGTGCCCCCCACACCACATTTCCAGCAGAGAAAGCCAGACCCCCAGTGGTCATGGGGTTTCTCTCCATGTTCTTAGAATAAAGGCCATTTTTACTTCATAATCTCTTTTTTGCCTTGCCAAAAATCCTATCAGGATCCTTTCCTTTGAATTTTGCCTATGGGGTCCAAAGAGTCCAGTTAAAATGTGACCAGAAGAAACAATAGTGTAACCACTTTATTCCCTGCGGCATGTAATCGACTTAGCAGGTTTTCAGCCTAGAGAGGAGAAAACCCTGAAGGAATAATCTTAGGACATCTGACTTGTACGAAAAGGCTCTAGAACTAAACTTATGACTGAGCAGTGGATACAGTATCATCAGGTGTGTGTGTGTGTGTGTGTGTGTGTGTGTGTGTGTGTGTGTGTGTAAAACCATGTATACATGTCTGTCAGGTTACTAATGGGCTGCACAAGTCAGCATCCGACTATAGAGAATATCTTACAGAAGGGAAAGCACGGAGCTAATTGAATGTTCGAAGTTGTTCAAGAAAACAAAACGGCACACAGCAGTTGACTTCTAATTGGCCATCAGGTGGAGGAACTCGGGAAACTCCTAGAAATATCAATAAAGTAGATGGTAACTATTCAAAAATACTGATTTGTTGGGCTTGTGAAATCATCTGATCTAAATTTGCCTTTGCACAAACCCTTTGAACGGCTGGAGCTGGCTCTGAGGACCCCATTTGTAAGGTCAGCTCACAATGAGAGTCTTAGTGAGAATTGTGATTCCAATGACTATCTTGTCCACTATCAAGGAAAAAAGCTACATGCTTACATAATTTCCGACCTGGCCTTAAGAAAGATGAAGACAGGTTATGACACTATCCGCCTAAAAGACCTTAATATACCTAGAATTATCACAAGATCGCATTACAATCTCTTTCTTTCTAAGGTGATGCCTTTTGCTCCTTCAGTCTCTATTTGTCTGGTTCTCTATCTAAAATGCAACTCTGCCAACAGCAGAAGACAAACTACTTATAGAAGAGATGAAATAAAATTAGAGGGGAGAAATAAAACTTGTGTCTGTGGTACGAAAGGAGTTTATGGTAAGTTAGATGCAATGTACGGGAAAATTCCTTTCTTCATTTATCTGTACCTTATCCTTTAATGACAAAAATAGTAACGATGATATTCTTCCCAGGAGCTGTTATGGGAATGAATCAGGTATCTTTTATTTGACCAGGTTTAATACATTATTTCTGTTGTAATGTTATTCATGAAGCACCAATCTTACCTCAGTGTTCATATACAGCAGTTATTAATGAACAGTGTTTGCATCATGCATTTTAATCAACGTGAGAATTACCCAGCTTCTGATACTTTCATGTGTTGTTCGCAGGAATGTAACCTGGAATAGTTTAGCTATTCCAGATACGCACTGCTCACCAGAGCTGGAAGAAGGCTACCAGTGTCCCCCAGGATTTAAGTGCATGGATCTTGAAGATCTGGGACTTAGCAGGCAAGAGCTGGGCTACAGCGGATTTAATGAGATAGGTCTGTCTGACTGGTAACACACCTTCTCAGTTTGTTTTATGATGTTTATGCAATGGACAGAAAAATTATACAGTTGATATTTCAGGTTACAACTGACTATAGTTTAAAAGAAATGTAAATGCAAATTTTAATTCTATGCCTATTTTATAATATGTTCTACCCTACAGTTGGCAACATGTAGACTTTGTCGGCATATATTCAGTATTGGCTGAATAGAGTTTTAGTTATCCCATATTAAGCTACTTTGATTCTTAATTATAACATTTAAAAATTATTCATTGAGTGATGTTAAGAGTTGTTGACTAAAAGATAAATAAGGCTTGGTTTCTTTTAGCATGTAACTATACCCAAGTAGGCAAGGTAAGTCTTTAAAATTGTAACAGTAGACTTTTATGAGGCTACAGAGCTAAAATCTGTTCCAGAACAGAAAACAGCTAATCAAAAACCTAATGAATATGCACCAGCTCTGTGATTGATATATGGAAAGTCCTTGTATACAATGTGTCAAATAGATAATCCTTTGAAGTTCTGAAATATGTCATTACCTATACAATGAAAGAAATTATCATCTAATCAGTATCATTAGATTTATCATAATTGCATTCAAATTGCCCATATTTTCGTTTAAAGTAAAAAATGAGATTCTAGACAAATATTTTATACTTTGAGAATTTTTAGTGAAATGAGTTTAAATAACTAACTTATACTTGAAATTTCCCAGTCTGATGTATGTAGGAGAATTCTAGATACTTTTACTCAAAGACTAAGAGATGTCATATATTTCTATATGTCGCTAGATAGTGGCTGTTCTCTTTTGGAAGCGAAATTTGCTTTTTTGACTTTTGATTTTAGTTTCACGTCTCAGTAAGCAACACAGTGTGGAGATTCCAAGCCAGGCTTGAGCATTAGGCCGTCTCAATTCTGATTTCTTCTCGTGAAACTGCAGCCATCCAATCTTCCCCATGTCGGAAAAAAATGGCTGCAAAACAGAATCCCACCTGGGCTTCCAATCCATAGCAGCTCCAGGGGAAGCAGTGAACTTTGATCTAAATATTGTAATTTCAAGAAAGCTATGTTGGAATTTCAGAAAGGTTGTGTTGATTAATGAATACTTTCCTAGTTTATGAGCTAAAACAAAAAGCTACAGCCTTCCAACAAAATATAGTACTAATCTAGGGCTGAAAAGCACAGATAATTTAAAGTCAGTTTTGCAAGTACCATCTCTGCATTTCTTCTTATATCTATGCCCTCACACTGAATTGCCAGCAGCTCAGGTGGCATTTGTCCATCTCTTTTAAACAGTGACAGGGTTTCCTGTTGCACAAAAATCTAGAAGCCAAGCTATGTGAATGATTTCAGATTGCTGTGGTCTCTTAATCTACCTTTTCAGTCAATATGAAGTCCCTCTTTTTAGCACAGAGGCTTCTCTGGATGGCACCGGTGACATCCAGGCATGAGCAGCACATCACAACTGTGCAATGGGAGATGGGGTGTGGGATGGGTAGACTGCACGAACAAGCTCCAGCAGTACCAGCAGCTGGACATGACTAGAATTCAGGGCTGTAGCTCATTCATTTGGGGTATAACCAGGTATACCCACGTCTTCTAGGAAGTGTGGCCATATTGGAGAACTTAACTATGCTTGAACAAACAAAAATACCTCTGATCCTGTGAAGTCGTGTTGCTCGTCATAAGCAGATCATACCCTGACCATTTATGAGGCAATCGTCCCTAAATTCAACTCACTGATTTATTCAAGGTGATTTATTACTTCACTGTGACTTACAACAACCTCAATTATTAAAGGGCACAATCTCCCTTTGAAAGAGAAAATCTTCTTATAAAAAGTACTGACTGGAGAGGACCAATTCTTGAGGGAGTTGGCATGGATGGTCAGTAGGCTCCCACAAAAGCAAAGATCTTGCTGGAGCTGCACTTCTGAGTTGCACATTTATCTCGCAAGGAGTTGAGTTCCTCGAAAACAAGAAGTTCATCTTTTTGTCTTCATGGCTTCAGGGCCTCTTACAGTGCCTGGCTCATAGGGAGCCCTCTATAAATGTTTACCAAAGGACAGGAAAAACGTGTGTTCTTTTGAATTCCTTGGTAACTAGTCATGTTTGTATTAGGAGAGAGAGCGTAATAGAGGACTGAGTTATTCTCTGATTGTTCTTCTTCTTCATTTTGCATGCTTTTGTTGGCCACATTCTCTATTTGTCATGACTTCCCTTTCTATACAAGCTGAATTTATTCCATTTGCTTCTTTTCCCCAAATGACAGCTGAATTAATCATTGTGTGACTAATGGTTAAATAATGAAGTGTTGACTTTGTACTATAACCCAATTATTTTTAAAGGGTCACTGTAGTTTAGATTGAAATGGATAGCTTCTTCTTGATGCCATGCTTCCCTGTAGATACACAAACCTGTACTTTAGGAGATTATTTTTAAAGTTTTAATGAAAACAAAAGATAATGTTTCTCCCAAAATAAGGGAAAGAAATTATAATATTAGAAGTTATTTATTTAGTGAGCAGTTGAATTTAAAACATAGTTAATTAGGTGCCTGGTAGTGTATATAAATTTGCCCAGTATACTTCATATATAAGCAATTTAAGTTAATTTCAAAGGAGTACTTTTCTTGCCAACAAAATTAACATGCAAAACACTGAATTACAATTCACTTGCAAAATTTTTGTTACAAGAAGTTTTAAGTCTCTTTAAAATTTAACACAGATGATGTTGAAAATCTCAAATTTTAAAACTAAATACCAGATTGAGTAAGTAGAAAAACTTACAAAGAGACTGTGTATTATGACGTAAAGATGTTCTTGTATCCCTAAAATCATATGGATATCAAGAAATCTTAGAAACGAAATTGCAGTCTCTGCTAAGGACTGAAACTCTGAGGTACAATGCCCAAGGACTGCATCTAACACGAAACATCCTGAGAGGATTCTGGCTACTGTGGACTTCGGACAGGGCCAGCAGGAGAGTAGCATTCTAAGATTGGAAGACCAGAGTGGCTTCCTTTTTGAATCATGCAGTCAGTGTGTTGCTGACTGAGGGCTCTTCCTGGGACCCTATGTCGCCTCTCAGCAGAGAGGGCTCATTGCTGGTGGAGTCAGCAGAAGGAAGGAGTAGAGGACAGACCCAGGGGTGAGGCTCCCACTACTGCTGACTGGGGTAAATGGCCAAGGTAAAATCTAAACAGCCTACACTTTAAAATGGCCTGAGGACATTTAGTTTTCTCTTCTATAAGTTATTTTTAACATTTCTGTTTTTGACATACATTGTTCATAATTATAAGGTCCAGTGTGATATTGCAATCTATGTATGCAAGTATAATGGACAGATCAGGTAACTGTCCCATCTGTCACCTCAAACATTCAGAATTCTCCCTCCTAGCTACATTGAAACACACAACACGTTGTCAGCCATAGTTACTCTACTGTGCTATAGAATATTGGAAGTTATTGCCCCTATCAGCTGCCCCTTACCTATTAACCGTCTTCCCTCCAAGCCCGCTAACCCAAGCTCTGGTAACCACTGTTCCCTTTGTGGCCTCTGGGAGGTCAACATTTTTATCTCCCACATATAAATGAAAACATGTGGCATCTGCCTCTCTGTGGCTGACTCTTTCATTTACCATTGAATCCTCCAGTTCCATCTGTGCTGCTGTAAATGACCCGGTTTCATTCTTCTTGTGACTAAAGAGTATCCCATTTATACAGATTTATAGAAGATCTAGGTTTATTCTTTAACTTAGCTGCTGTGAAGAGCTTTGTAATAAACATGATAGTGCAAATATGTTTGATGTACCAATGCCCATGCACCATTCCCAGATCAACTAAATAAAAGCCTTAGAATGATCCAAGGCATAGATGATTTATAAGTCTCTCCATATGATCGTAATGAGCACAGAGAGTTTTGAACCACCAAACTGAAGCAACACGCACACACACACACACACACACACACACACACACACATGCACGCACACTCTATCTTATCTTAACCTCATTTGCCTGCATTGACTAATATTCCCACTTCTAGTCAGGGGAGATAGCATTCTGGAAGGCAGATTCTTGGTGTTGTTTGATTGATAGTTACCCATTGTTCCTATTTTGCCACTCTTAAAAGTATTCTCATGTCTGAGCTCTGTTTCTAGAATCATAGCCACACTCATCTTGTATCACTGAATTTTCCTCCAATGTGTCAAACACATATTTAATCATATTTAGCCCTTTGCATTTGAGTTTTTGTCCTCCTGGGTTGGAACCAGGCCCTGCCTTTCAGCAGCTTTTCAGCAGGCCTCCTTCTGCAGAGTCCAAGAGAAACATCTGATGGGCATTAAGCAAAAGTCACAGCTCAGCTATGTCACACGTGGTCTCCAAAACTCAGTAGTTTATTTTCTGGCCTCTCTTAAATCCCATGTGGTGACTGAGATATTCATAGTTTCCAAATATTTTCTTTTCATTTAAACATTTTCCCATTTTTCTTCCTGGGTACATATCCTTGATTCATTGATTATGACTTAATTTGCAAATCCCCTCCAAGGTGTTAACTTGTGTACTTAAGGTGTCAAGCCCTCCTCCACATTCCACACACACATAGGACCACACACAGTGGAAGGGACATATGTGACCAACTCTGCTTAGCACAGCCAGCTTCCAGGAATGAGGTATGTGGTGGGAGGCGGGTAGTAATGATGGGCAAATCCAAACAGTGCACTGAAGAGGTGAAATAAATAATCACACTAACCTACCTATTGAGAATATGTATGTGCTTCCATCTTCTGAAAACATTTTGTAATTTCCACATCTTCCTTCCCCTGTGTTCTTGCACACTTACAAACAAGTGGATGTGATAAGCTGAGACACACAGGAAGGCTCTGAGATTTCCTGGAAGAGCAGTGACATGAAAAGACAGGGCACTCACGTGCTTGCTCACAGTTCTGCAGGAGGGAAACAGCACCAGAGAGAGCGGGGTTAGTTTCTGACAG